ACTTTTAATACCTCATGTATTTACTTAATCAATTTTTGTACCGAACGTTTCATTCGGTAACAATTTTTAGTCCTAACAATTATTTTTTGTGTTTAAGTTCCAACCGAACCGTCACAAACATTTTTTTAACAATTAAAAAAAATCTAATTAGTTATAAAATTTAGTACTCAATAATTTTATTTATTTATTTATTTATTTTTTCTGGAATGATTGAGGTTTTATATAACGCACAGAGTGCGAAATGAAAACCAGCCAAAGGCTGAATAATACATCCAACGGCTGAATAGACTGGGAGGCAGACTCGAAGATCGTCTAGGACCAAACCTAACGCTAGAAAATATAAACACAACACTACAAAATAAAAACTACCACTAACTCCCAAACAAGAGACTAAATGACCCCAAAAGGATAATGCCCGAGTGAGAACCGATTCTAAAAGGATAATACCGCTCCCACTCGAGTAAAAACAGAGGCCGAAAGCCCAAACAAAAAACACAGACATACAAAACACAAAACAGACCAAAACTAAACAAAACTTAACAAACACTATACGAAACAAAATGAAATAAAACGAGCCTTTCCCAAGCAGCTAGACCAAGCAGAGCCAACGAAACCAAGTCGACCCAAAGTGAATCCCACAGCTAAAGAGGACCAACCCTGAAACTGCCTAACACCAACTCAGTGGCCTAGCGAAGTCAAAATCCAAGCCATGGAACTTCACCCAAAGTCGGACTTGAACCACAACAACAACACCTAACTGCTAAAGAACAGCCACTGGACCGAACCCTCTAATACCACTAGTGAGTCCGACAGTACCCGGTGAACCCCTCGAAACTCAGAGCATGAGAATAGGGGGAGAGAGAGCAAGAAGACGTCGAGGCAGCAACCTTGACCACCGAACCACCCGGAACCGCCAAGATCCTACACCTAGCACCGCGCCAATCCGTCCAACACCACTGGCCGGAAGACGGAGCATTGGTCCGCCCAGACCCAACCAGCACGAGCTCAATCGCCGCTGAAGAAGGAAAACCGACGCATATATGAAGGTGACAACGGAGGTTGTCGAGAGAAAGAGAAGGGGGAATTAGGGTCGACTTTTCAGTAATCAATAATTACCAAATTAAAAAGAATTATGACAATATTATTTACAAGTTAGTTTATCATCCAATTGTCCAAAATTGGTAGATAAGTATTTTCTTATTTTGTCCATTTCATGACGGGCTATAATAGCCCTTTATCAATTTGAAATTTAATTATATGTCGTGAATATAGACAAAAAATAACGTGTTATTTCTCAAATTTTCAGCCAAAAAAATCGGTTTCTCAAAGTCTTGATTGTACAAAATTGAATGTGTGACCTCTAACTTTATACAGTCCCGTCATGGAATGGTTGTATGAGAGATTTTAGTCATAGATTATCTAAAATAACTAACTCACATATATATATCTAAAGGTTAAAATCTCTCACGGAACCATTCCGTGACGGGCTGTAGCATTTTCCCTAACTTTATTCCTTTCTTCATGCACTACAATAGTCGGTTAGGTCCGAACTAGTTGCGTCCCTTCGGTCCTTTCTTTCCTCGGATTCTGCCTTCGGTGCACAGAGGGGAAATCGAAGACTATTTAGGATAGATAAATGACCCACAGGCTATTATTCTATAGAAATAAGGTATGCAATCGGGAGAGGATTAAAGCTCTTTCTATGCCATCAATCCCATTTTGTTCAAAGCGTCCTCTTCTGGGAAGGAATTGATGCGGCAGTAAGTCAATTTCAAGTTTTAAATCTATATATGTTGTGAATTTGAGCTAAAAATCGCAAGCTTTGTCTTCTAACTTTTTGCAGATTTTATTATTTTTTTGGTTAATCTGAATTCCCTAAGCCTTGGAAAAATGACGTGTTAGCTTTCATTGGTTCCTATATTTAGCTATAAATTTCTTATTAATTTATAGTTTTGAGTTCACATATTTTTTTTTGAATAATAACTTGATATCATTCAATCAACTGTTCAACAATACAGTTCAAAAGAAAGGAGATAAAAGGGCCGGGAGACAATCTTTCCACAAGAAATATTATCATGTCGATCAAATAGCCCATTTAGCTAAATTATGAGCTATAATATTAACATGACTACAATATCAA